TGGGGGGAGAAGAACCATGTCATAAGTATAAGACAAGAATCTTTACTTAAATCCCAGAAAAGAAGGGGAGTTTCAGTGGCTTTTAAAATTACTATTTTATTTTGATTTGACACCAATCGCAAAACAAAACAAAATCATTATTAGGACCTATATATCCATATAAAATAATTTTTATTCAGTGTTGTTGACAAATATAACTTTGCTTAGAATACAATACTCTCGTTCACACATAGGTATCCATCTCCAACACAAATTCAAAGTAAGCACACGTGGGTTTCTTTTTCTATTCCTCAGTACATATACTTCGAAACTGTGCTGAGAAAGCTTTGCTACGATTTTCTTTTTAGTGTGTATCGAGAAGGGAAGAGAGAGAGAGAGAGAGAGAGAGAGAGAGAGAGAGAGAGAGAGTAGGAACGATGTGGATAATTCAGACTCGACGAGTAGAAATATGTGGACCTTAAACTTCCGAATATTTGTCAGATTTGTAACAAACTGGGCTATATTGAAGGGCGGTCGAGAAATACCACTTTAAAAGCGAGTTAGTTTTAGTTTTAGTAGAGGTTTGACAGAGAGTGCGGTGGCGGAGCTGTTAGTGCGCTTGTCTCCGAAGCAGAAAGTCCGGGTTCAAGCCTCGGTTCGGACACAGATTTTTTCGCCCCCTGCCCACCCAGCAGTAATTGGTACCTGACTTCGAGTTGGGGAAGTAAAGGCGGCGTGGAAAAGAGCTGGCCACCCTACCACAATACACGTATGCCGAAGGCCCAGGAAGTTGTCTCACTAACAAGGCAATCCCCAATGTCCGGATCGGATGCGGGAACAACTTTACTTTTTAGAGGTTTTACGGCGCTCACAACGGCATAAGGTCATAAAAAGGTCTAGATGTTCGATAGGAAAGAAGAACCAAACCACACCAGAGCATCCTCCACCCATCCACATTAAAAGCGAGTTTAATCAGAGCCAGTGGAGACTGTGCGTGTGGTGTAGCTTACTAGAACGAGTGACGAATTCACTAATCAGTGAAAGGATGATGTGCGCCTCGAGGGAGAAGAGTGCGCGCGCGCGTATGTGTGTGTGCGTGCGTGCGTGTGTGTGTGTGTGTGTGTGCGTGTGTGTGTGTGTGTGTGTGTGTGTCTGTGCGTGTGTGTGTGAGTGTATGTGTGTGTGTGTGTGTGAGTGTGTAAGGGGGGGGGGGGGGCAATGTGTCAACATGGCGGAGAAGAGATTCACTTCAGCTAAACATTGATTAGTGCATAATAAAAAATTGATACCTTTCTTATTGCAAGGGACAACCATGGGTAATCGATACCATAAGGGGAATTGAGGAAGGTAGGCTACAACTGTGGGTCAAAACTTGCGATTGTCACTTCAGATGCTCGTACTACCACTAAGTTTAGTTTTACGTTTAGTTAGAGTTTTACGGCATTTGCAACAGAAAAAGATCTTGAGCGCCAAGGGTTAGAAGTGATTACACGAGAGAAACATGCACAGAACAGAAGGAGAAGAGATATATAAACGAATATGTATATGTTTGATAGGAAAGGAGCAAAATACACCAGTGCACCCTTCAACTGCTCGGATCCCCTACCATCGGGGAATACATTATTTTATTTAACAATATATATTATAATATAATATATAACTGTAACGGTCGTGGCGTTAATTAATTATCGTCCTCAAGCAGTGGTGCCATTATAATATTTACTTACAGTTTACAGTAGTATGCATTCGTTCCAGACTTTCCCGGAGTCAAAGAAAGTCTTCTTCTTCTTCTTCTATCCCGTGGTTGGGGCAACCGTGGGGGCACCACTGCATCTGAAAACCAGCTCTCGCCATTTATCTTTGTCCTCTGCTTTCCTCAGATTGTCACCCATCGTCTTCCTGTCCACTCTGTAATGTTGTCCTCCCACCTCCTTCTCTGCATTCTTCTCTTTCTCTTTCCTTGTACGGTTCCTTGTAGGATTGTTTTGGCAAATCCTGTGGATCTTGTGAATTATCCATACCATTTAAATTTTCGTCTCTTCACTGTGGTCAGTAGATCTTCATGCTACCCGACTGCGTTGGTGATTCTGTTTTGTACCTCAACATTTGAAACATGGTCTTTGTACGAGATGTCAAGCAAAGAAAGTACCACTATTTAAAAAATAAAATGTTCTCTCAAACACACATCCCCCTCAATCCACGAGGAATTAATTTTATAGATGTCGCCACCGTACAAAACATTTCGTGTCCTTTTTTCAGAGTGAAGTATTGTATATGTAGCACATTCATTGCTCTTTCTTTCTCTGTACAGGGTGCGCCGCTCCCTCAATAAACAGTACATGTATCAATTATCAAGCACACAATAATAACAACATCATAGATGTCGTCACAGGCCATTCTCGGGCGGCTTTAAAAAAAAAAAAAAGATTAGTTTAGTTTTGGTAAGAGTTTTACGGCAGTTGCAACACAATAAGGTCATATCGATTTAAGTGCAGAAGAATATATCGTGTTACAAGAGAGTAACGTACGCAAAAAGAATGAGGAGAGACAAGGACGATAGATATTTGACTGGAAAGAAGGGGCAAACCACACAACCAGGGCACCCGCCAACCACCCTCTTTTTAAAAGATTAGGCCTATATTTATAGAGAAGAGGATACTCTTATTGCAGTGCATAGTCATCTTCGACGGGATGCTGTGTAAGTGCTAGAAAGGAAGACCGGTTGCTCAGTGAGTAGACATATGATGAGTCAAAGCGATGTTTACAGTAGACAGTAAGATAAAAGGCCACTATTAGCCAGGCTGTAGTTGTCCAAGTTCAACATCCTACTACTACTAGACAAGAAAAACGTAAATTAAAATAAAGGCGGAGTACTTGATCCGTCGGTAGGACTCTGGACTGAGAAGAAATATTCTAGTACTAGTAGGCACCAACACCCCCCCCCCCCCCAAAAAAAAAAAGATTTAAAAAAAGATAAAATAAAATAAAAAAAACCAAAAAACAATTATGACACTGTTCAGATTTCAACCTCCGACTTATGTTTTAGTAAGAGTTTTACGGCACTAGCAACACAATAAGATCATATATAAGTACCGAAGATTAGAGGTGTTACAAGAGAGTAACAAACAGAAAAAAGAAGGAGGGGAGATCTGTGCAATAGTAACTGACCGTGAAGAGAGCGGCAGTTAAGAACGTCAAGGTCCGACTTTTTACATTCTTTTTTAAATTCAGTTTTAGAAAGAATTTTAAAGTTTTTGCAGCATAGGTAACAAAGGATCAAAGACAATAGTAGGTGTTACTAGAGAGTAACTTGCAAAGAAAATTAGAAAGGGAGAGATAAGGTACAAAGTGATACATGTATTTCCTTAGGCTGATCACGAAGCCGTGATCCTTCGGTTCACCACTGCAAGCTTTTACTTTTAGAGACAATGTTACCCGAGTTTACTTTTACTAAATTTAAAATGTTTAACACCTCAACACGCACTTTTGTATAATTTAAGAGGCTGGTTGCTCCGACCCTACCTGTGAAGATCTACAGGGGCAGAGTGGGATACAGCATCCTGGCAGACTCGAGGAGGTATTCAATAAATTAAGTTCACCACTGGGAATCACACTCAGGTCTTCCTGCAACGCCATAGAGTTTAAGCATTCCATCACAGATGCCATTGCCAAGGGTTATGGGGCAGTCTATGGCAAGTAGGCACAGATGCTTTGCCAGAAACTAGTTTTAGTAGAGGTTTTACAGCGCTCGCAACTGCATAAGGTCATATGAGCGCCAGAAGATTAGAGGTGTTACAAGGGAGTAACAAACATAAAAAAGCACAAGGGGAGATAAGGACGATAGATGTTTGATAGGAAAGAAGGAGCAAACCACACCAGACAACCCGCCAACCACCCACCCAGAAACTAGATAAGATGACATAAACACTGAAAAGAAGTAAAGTAAAGAAACAAAAGAAACGGGAACACATAATAAGAAAACTCATCATCCAGATGTGGATGCAGAGTAGTGTGGGTAAAATAAAGAGAAACACTCAGGTAGTCATTTAATGCTGAGTAACATTAAAACACACACTGAAAAATAAAGCA